CTTAGAGAAAAGATATGATGATGAGAAAAATGTGAGGAAATTTCTTTCTTGTCGAACATATAAAGATGATATGAATAGAAGAATAGACAATTTTAAAGAGAATCTTCTGAAAAGAATCAGATGCGCATGTCAAGATATTATTCTTTATTTTTTTATTTCGAGCAAAAAAGTTTCAAAAATTTTTAAATGTGTATCAAATGAATTTCTTATTTTTTCAAAAATTATATACACGTTCACTTAAGTTTTAATTATGTCAAAGTTAGTCTAAGTTTAAGCTATTGGACAGAATAATGGTATCTCTCTATTTTTTCATTTTGACAGTCAATAAAATTATTAAAGTTAAGATTTATCTTATTATAGTATTCTTCAGCCTAAGTATTTCACTCTGTTTTCTCTGTAAAAATAGAGATCTGAAAGTTTACGTCAATTACAGCGGAAATGACGGAAAATGAAGAAAGAGCCGCAAAGAAAGTGGAGAGTTTTATCGGTCGAAAATGGTAATGTAAGCGTAATGATTCTCTAACGAGTCAGTCTTATTTCGCCAAAAGAAAAAGAGGCCATCTTGTATGAGGAGAGAAGGGAGGGAACAGAAAGAAAGATCCTTTTTCTTTGCTTGCTATCTGTGTCTTCGCTATCGACCTACCGATGACCCTTTCTTCCCTCCTAATATATCCCTCTCACGCCTTCCTTCTCATTCTCATCCTTACATCTCTGAGAAATTTCACCCGCGCGTCTCTTCACGTTCCGCACTGTCTTAAATATTCTACTCTGTTTTCTCTCTAACTTCCGTTTGCACGCGCCGGAAGTCACGCCGCACTCTTGAATGTATTCCGAGAAAGGAGAGTGGAATTCTTGACAGGAAGAATTGCGAAATATTCTTGAGCGTCGTCGTCCTTACAGCAGAGTTTCTCTCTCCGGCGGTATCGGATGAAAAGATGAGAATTATTAATGCGGAGCGCGCTTGCGAAGTGCGGTAGCGTTGCGTTATATCGGGTATTTGCAAGTTGCAGCTGTTTACCTGACTAAAAAATCTTGCAGTTTGTGAGGAATTGTGAAACAAATTTTCCACTGATGAAAATTTAATGGAGAGATATCATTTAACAAATTTTTATTGTTAATATTAAATATTTTTATGATAGAATTAATTTAAAATTCTGCTAACAATAATGTACTAATACAAAAATGACCTCTTAAATAAGACAAAATTTGCTCGAAATAGAAAGAACTTTAATTATTTTAATTATTCTTGTTTTATTTATACATAATTTATAACTATACTATTTATAACTATACCTATCTATTTTAATTTTATATTTTTATATATTTGTCTTGAAATCACGACTTGTATTTTTAATATACATACATATATATAAATATTACGGATACACGTACTCTTTAGGAGAAGTGTTGTTTACCGTATCAAGAGAGAGTTATGTCAGAATAATCACGAAACTATTGTATAGTGATCTGTAGTTTAACTTGCGGAAATTGGCGATAAATGAACACGATATGTTGCTTAATTGGATCGGTATATCGGACGAGCCAGCTAGATAAAACTAGCTCGCTTGTACCACATTATATCTTCTATTCACCGTATATTCTTGTCGCTATTACAAGGTTGAAATTTCTATTACTCCGGGCTTTTATGTTATTTATTATTAATCAAATCGAAATCGATGTTCGATATTTCCAAGTGATCGTTTATCTTATCATTGCAAAATAGTAATAAATTTCTGCCAGCTTTCACAAATACAGAATATATCCTGAGATTATCAAAGACTAAGAGTTATTATTTTAGAAGCAGATTTCTTGAAAAAACAGTTTTTTTTATTATGGTATCAAAACATCAAAAAAATTTTTAATTACTAATAACTGAAAATAAAAAATTTCTTGCATATTTTGCATATTAAAAAAAAAGATTTAAAAAAAATTTAATTATTTATATTAATATCCAATCTTTAAAAAATATACATTATTTTTATTACACAACATATTTCTAAGTATTTGTTAAATTTTATTCGTAAACTTCATATATTAGTTTTATTTTCATATATTAGTTTTATTTTCAACTTTACATTATATTTTTCTATTTTATTATTAATTACATTTTTATAAAAATTATACGAGTTAATCAAATAACTGATCGATACAATATATAACACTTTATCTGTCGTTCTATAAGTGTATCTCAAAGCATCTAAAAATTCTCAAAATACTTTTAACTCGAAAAGAAACTAGTTCTCGTCTGTTTTTATCTATAAAAGTCGTTCAATTTATCCTTTCGTAAAGGCAGCGAGAGCACAAGCTGCCGACCGGAAGAAGACTCCTACCCATTGAATCCCTTGTGAGCAACACCGGCTATCAGCGGCTCGTGACCTATCGATTCGCTTGCAATACTCCGTATCAAAGTGTTCGCGATTGGAGCATGTATCGGAATTGCGCCGGAATTGCGCCTCGCTATCGATAAGCACGGAAATCGCACTTTTTCGACGATTTAGTCAAGACTCCCTTTTCAAAGGTACAAATCGACGATCAAAACCGCATTTACTTTCAGAAAAATATCCAACTATTCCTCGCCACATGTCCTCGAAATTTTATTCTCTTGTTCTCGGAAAAGCTTTTTCATGTTTTAACATTGTCAAAACCTGTTATCCACGAAGGATATCTTCGGATTCTTCTTTTAGTAGTAACGATGATGGAAAGGAAAAGAAAAAGGAAAAGAAGAGAAAAGTTATCTAAATACGATTATATCTAGTATGTTCTATGTGTTAACATTAGCAGAAAATGATTCTTGGATGCATCATACGCAAGATCTAATAACTATTTTCAATTTAACGGTTTCGACTAAATCTAAAATAAATTATTTTTTAATTAAAATATTGGGATGAATAATAATATTCCTGAATTGCAATTAATAAATTTTTGTTATTTAAAGTGTCGAATTGAAAATTATATTTAAATCGAGATTAATAAAATTTAAAAGCGATCGCAAATCTTATTTAAAAATCTTATATTTAGTCTTATTCTAATTTTTTTCTAAAAAATTTAATTACCATAATATTTGTGAAAAATTGAATATTAAAAAATTACGACAACTAACCTTGCTTGAAATTTTTCCTAATCAAAAATCTCTAAATTTATGTTAAGCAATTTCGTAGAAATTCAGATACAGAATTGTGTGACTACGCTGCTTTTACATAGAATTGCTACACCTTTGCCGCAGCCTTCGATCAACAGTCGCCGCATGCAATTCGCGGCGACTCGACACCGTTCAAGACTCGTCGCGGCCGTTAAAACGCTGGCTATCGAGAAAGTTTGCGAATTTATCGCCTTAATCTTGTCCGGGAATATTTATGACTGGTCCGGCCGGTCGGCCGGTCGCGAAAGTTCGCTTCGTTTCGTGCGAAACTCACGCGTTTACAACAAAGCTCTCGTCTGGCTTTGTGACCATCGTTATCATTTCCTCCTTCTCGCTTTCTCTACGATCAACCCTGGGAACCTATGCAAAGCTGACTGTTGTTTTTAGATACACGCGAGCGAATTGCACATTGGATGTAAATCCGCAGAAAGACATCCGATCAAGCTGAAACTTGGCGGATAATAGCGTGTTTTCTCGCTGAATCCGCTCGCGAAAACTTGGGACAACGTTAAACTTTAAAAGGTATCGCTTCTGCATTTTACAAGTCCTATTATAGAGAAAGTTTGCATTCAATCGAACAGACTCGACATGGATGGTGACATCGATTTATTATGATATGGATGAACAAATAGCGAATGTAGGGTTCTAACATTTACAAGTTTTATCAAATGGATCTTTTTCATCTATCAAAATATTTTTTTATTATTTTCAATGTAATAAATTCTAAAAAAACATGAAAATTCCGGAAAAAAACGCTCCGTTTCTATTTCATTAAAATTGTAAAATAATTTGTTTGATTAATAATGATTAAAAATAATGATTAAAAATAATTTATGAAGTTTATTAGGGAATTTTATTGGTTAAATAATATAGAATGAGTTTTATGTAAACGTAAACAGCGCATAATTCTGCGTTATCGAGTCCATTTTGTTCATTTTAAAGTTTTTCTATCTTTTTCATTTCTATTGCACAATAATATTTTTGAGGTTTGATTTTTTTATTTAGTCTTTTTTTCATAAACAGAAATTTTTCTCACAGTTACAACAGCAATATATTTCGCGATTTTTTAATGATAGATGTGTGAAATTAATTGTTGGCAGCAAAAAAATTTCTAATATTTTATATAAAAATTTTAAGCCATTTCAGGATTCTATAAAATCAGAAATGTAGGTAAATCCATGAAAATAAATTGCAAAACAATTACTTTATATCGCTTTCTTCATTTTCTTTATATTCAAAGTTTATCTTTTATTTACATTCGTCAATGATCCATTATTCATATATGACAATATTTTTATGTATATATACTGAATATAATATTTCTTTATTTATTTACATATTTGTATACAATATATTTTTTTAATAATTTTATTTCTATAACGAAAAAATGTTTTATTGTCAAATATATTCACAGTATAAAGCATGATTTATTACTAAATATATAAAAGATATAAAACTCAATAACAAATATAATTTCAATTTTTTATATATAGTTGTTATTTATATATAAAATTACGTATTAAAATGCAAGATAATATTTATTATTTTAAATAATATATTTATTATTTTGATATTATGTATTTCTAATATTATGTGAATATATGTGATGGTTTAAAAGTATGTTTTTTTATTTGAAGAGAAAAGAAATATTGTTCTTTATGAATTGAAGAGCAAGTAAATAAACAATAATGTACATTTTTTAAATTTATTATAATTAATTGAATAGGATTTAATAGAATTTTGTACTTAATTTTATAATATAAAATAGTGCAATAACATGTAAATTTTTATAATAATTACTTTCATTCTTATTAAAAAAAAGATATCCCAAATTAAATTAATTAATAGGTTTGTTATTATTTTTCAAAAGAATCTATAACCTTGGAACATTTTGTCTTAGTTTTGAAGGTTTTTTTTATTAATATATATTAACATATATTAACATATATATACATTAACATATATTTTTGATAATCATAAAATATAATGCTCACTCATTTTCACGTGGCACATATTTAACCCTCATTCGATCGATTCTTCCATTCGGAAGACGTGGCATTATTTTAAGAAAGGACACTCCACCATGAAGGAAATAAGTTTCGTTATCTACATTATTTTTCACAAATTCTATTAGCTCTTTTTCCGTCACCTATAAGACATAATAACGTGAAACTTTCTGTAAACAATTCGCTCAACTTTATAACTTTATTAAAAGCAAACATTTTTTAAACCTTTGTTCCTTCCTCTCTTATAACAAATGCCTTTGCATGTTGACGATCGAAATCATGCTTTACACCTACCACGGCAACTTCGTGTACATCCGGATGACGTAATAATATTTGCTCGATTTTTCTCGGGTAAATATAAAGGTTTCTATATCTAATCAAATCTCTGACTTTATCGATAACAAAAATGTCACCGTCTTCATCAAAGAAGCCTACATCTCCGGTATAATACCATCCTAAAAGATATATGTCATCTTTTTATTATTGATTTGCATAACTGTTGACTTTTGTAAGCTATTTTAAAAATAATAATTATAAAATCAATTAAAGAGAAATGTAACAGACCTTCATTTGATCGTTGTAGATCGTATTTACTCTGTAGCAATTTTGACTGAGGATTGGCTACTATTATATTCGGAGCTTGACACCAGATCTCGCCACATGTATTTGCACTCACTGGTTGCCTCGTTTCATAGTCAATAAACATTAATCGAATATTTTTGTTCACGTAACCGCTAGATCCAATCTTACTAGTTTTTCGTTGATAAGCGATCACGCCTATTTCCGAAATACCTGATATAATTCAACGATTATTGATTTCAGATATTATATTGTTAAATATTGATTACAACAATTGTAATAAGCGTATGTACCGTATACTTGAGTGATATACACGTTCGGTAACGATTTGATAAGACCTTCATGAATTTGGCGTATAATTGCTGTATCACCGAATAACATTTGTTTTAAGGAAGAGACATCATATTTCTTAAAGACGTTAGTATTATCAAATTTATTACACATACTGCTTTTAAGAAACACCCACGACACCTGAAGACAACGTTTGAGAACATTTCTTAATACTATTTTATTAAGTAAATTAAGAAAATTTATATATATACGTTAGGTAAAAAGAAGAGAAGTTACATTTCTTCTTGATTTTATATATTTTTAAGTTACCTTATACTTTTCTATTATTTGGCATAAATTTTCTTCATTGAATGTCGATATCTTGATTGCTGTCACAAAACTTATTATAGCACGAATAGTCAATAGCAGACTGTAAGTCCAATTTATAGGTTCATACCAAAGACCAACGTCATTGAATTTCATAATCGGCGTCTCGTCATTCGGATGAGATAAGAACAGTCCGTAAGGAATGTACGCCTCGCCAGGATAATTTGACGTGTTGGAAGAAAACATCACCACTGCTGAAGTTCTTTCAGTATGTTGTGCACATTTAAACGCCTCAATTTCCGATGGATCAAACTTACTATTTATAATTGAGTCGAGAGAATCATAATCCTTCTTGTCACTCATCAGTCCTTCTTGTGGCTCATCCATAACTATTATTTTCGATAAAATTGGTTCGTCAAAAGATCGCGTAAGTATAAAAGCCGTTTGGAGCTTCGTAAGATTTTCACTGTCGATAAATATTACATCTGGACTATGTTCCAGCAAAAAATAAAGAGTTCTTACCTCGTCTAAAAAAATATTTATTATTGATAAATATATGGAAGACACTTAGATAAGAACACGTGATAAAAAAATTATTTCCCGAATTTTGTTCCGAAAAAGGATCTCACACACACACACACACACACACACACCCACAGACTACGTACCCTCTAAATATTTACAATCCCATGGATTCACAATAAGATTGAGATATATGCCCGCCAGAAGCGGCATGTAGGCTCGCATTCGATTGTTTATGCATATCGTTATTACATCGTTTTTTTTAATGCCTTGTTTCTGTAACCATATTGCTAGCTTCACGCTTTTGTTTCTCATCTCCTCGTATGTAACTTCTTCTCCTGTCTCCGCGTCTATCTGCGAAAAATATGTTAACTGCATTTGTATTAAATGATATATTAAATATACATCTCACCTGGATAGGATATCATAATTTTATTTTCTTAATTAATGAATGCTTTCTCTTCGCACCCGTATTAAACTATTGTTATTACTATTAAACTATTATTAAACTATTATTATTAACCACCATGTTAAATAAATTTTATTATTAGAATACGTTACCTGACCAATGAATGTTGGCCTGGTTTTAAATGTGATCAAAATCCAATCTCCGATATTCAGATACTTCCTCGAAGAATGTTCCCCAATTAGTATATTGTTTATTATCTTGAATGGAACTTGGTTTTCCGTTGCATCCTAAAAATAATCATTAATTAGTATGAATGCTCCTATTTTTATTTTATATATCTTGTGAAATGAATTTTATTATATATCTTTTACCTTTTCTACTTGGTGATATCGAGACATTTCTTTACCTATATTATTGTAATATGTACATGGAAAGTTATAATATTGAAAGAAAGTTATACAGATTGAAATAATACTGAAAGTTATAAAGATAAAGGATAATAGCGTTAAAAACGTTATAAAAATAATGACGTTACGTATCACAATGAGAATACAGCATGTGACTAAGGTTTAAATTCTACTGGTACAATACTTGTTTTTATAATTATGATGTTTGTGTAATGATCTTAGCAGGGTCACACGAATTAAAAATATTTTCCTCAGACACGACAAAGCGAAAATGCAGAGCTGTAGCAAATTTAACTAGCACCTTTCACCTATCTTTTAACCCATTTCTACGTTATCAAATTTTATATTTTTGCATTTAATTTGGATATTGTTGCTTGCATTCAATGATTTGATACGTGCTCGTCTTAATTGTATTTCTTTTTTGAACGTATATCGGAAGAAAAGTTTTATCTTGCTTTTAACATGAATATTATGTAGATATTATATTAATACACAGCAATCTGGATGATCGTACCATCTTAACAGAACCGATTGGCGTTTGATTGAGGAAAATTTATTTCGGGAGCGATGATTTGTTTCGCGTATATACACCCGCGCGAATTGTGTACCGTGAACGGAACAAATCATGTATCGAAATGCAGGATGAATTATACTACGCATCTGATATTCTATAGTCGGGAACACAGCTCGCGATGATCGAACTTCTCTCGTTTTTCCGCCAGCGATATGTCCAAAATGTCGATACGTCTTAAGCTTTGAACATGTTTATGGGATTAATGTATTGTGCTCGGAAAATGAATTTTCGATTGCGTCATGCTGAAGTAATATAAATCATTAAAGAGAGAAACATTTATATGAATATTTGTCGTCTTAATCGAATACAAGTGATAAATGAAGGTATACTGATACATTTAAATATGATGATATAGATATTTTTGTTTATGGTTAAACATTATTAAATAAAGTATGATATATAAATTTTTAAACAAAATTGATACGTGCTCGTCTTTTACCTGTTATATTATTTATATGAAAGCAACACAAATTTCTTTAATTATTTTGATAATATATTTCATAATATATTTTTGATAATTTATTTTACAAATAAATGATAAAAATATTATAATGCTGTATTAATTTTTTACATATTGAAACTATTAATATTTATTTATTATATCCTCCACATATGTATATGATCATAAATTTGAAAAAAAATTTCATTTGATACATATATATATATATATATATATATATATATATATATATATGCAATATTTAAGTAATTTTTATGCCACAAATTATTCAAAGTCTTATCAATTTTTAAAAAATGAGTTTTTAGATGGAAATCAGGTTCAAGTTAAAAATGTAAATACTTTTCAGGGTTCAAAATACTAATTAAACGATTCCCTAATTATTCCCTGTTTATTTATTGTAATGTATGGCTTTTTTACTATATACGCAGAAAGGAAAACATTTGTTCTTATAATTCTTAGCCTCGGATCATTTATAACGACTATTTTTTCAATCCTTTCGTCGATCAATCAGAAAAAATGTGAGAGAAAATCTAACTAAAGGTATACTAATAATCACGATTTGATCAGATGAAAAATACGAACAATCGCACAAGTCCGGATATATATTAATTATCTCGTTTCGCTATTCAATTCTTTATTAGCGTTGATGTATTGCTGATATTGTCCCGTGAGGAGAAAAAAAAGAAAATATTGGTATCATAGGAGAGGATTGCCGAAGTTTAAAACATTCTACAGAAAGAAAAAGAATGCAAAACTAGCATTGTACGAGTTATTTTTTGAAATATGACACAATTTCGAAATCAACTGCCAATTATCACTGCTTTTGTTCCGGCGAACAAAAACGCTACAGGAATTTTCTTCACTCTTTGTATCTCTTATTCTCTCTCCCTTTTCCTGTTCTCTTTCTCTTTTCTCTCTCTGAAAGGACTTATTTTATGTGTGTGTCATAAGAGTTATATTTTACTTTCGAAAATCACAAAAATTCAAAAACAACGTTTTCGTACAAAATATATTGCATTTCGGATCAAAATTAATCAAAACTGTCGCTTTAGTAAAACGTAGTTAAGTGATGTAAGAGAGAAAAGAGAAAAATAAATTGACGAGAATTGAAAAATATTCAAATGACAAAAATATTCATCTAATAATATAAAACTAATTGCAACAACTGCTTTATTTTTGGATTTTATTTTTTCTAATTCTTATTTAAATTATGTCATTATCGAGATAATTTTCTTTTCTTTTATAAGTTAACAATAACGTATAATTTTCGCGAATATATAACTGAAGATTTTAAAGGAAAAAAATAAATTATAAAATAATTTTTAGCCGTATTTTTTATACATTTTAAAAGGATATTTTTAACAACAAATTGCAATTTTCGAAACTTAATTATAACAGTAAGATTGAAAATTAAAAAGAAAAATCAATTTTTAATATTATATCTTAATTTTATATATTTCTTTCCTTTATCTACTATTTAATTTTATTTTATCGATAATTTTAATCACTTTTTATTTATTTTAATTTTTATTATACATTTTTTAAATATTTATTCGCAAACATTTTAATCTTCCATCCTTTTATCTTATACTACACTATTAATATTAATGATGTATCGATTTCGCGGATCCGTTTAAGTCCATATTGCAATAATCTTAAATGATGAAAGTTATCTACTTTGTTACGTTGCGATCGATCGCAAGTGGCGCGATTTAACCAGCTCGTCGGGGATTTCGCGATGGAATTTTCCAAAATTCGAGAACGGCCGAATATCCGATGGGAATTGCAAATTCCCCGACAACTACTTTAGTATCGTTACGAGCGGGTTTCCATTCGCCTACGTTCTCTACACGTTACCCTCATATGTATGTATTCATGTTTTATTGGTGTATATATATGATGTATATTTGAGGGTGAGAAGTAGAGTAATATGGTGCTACAAGGTGATAATTTCTTGAATAAATTTAATCTACTTGAAATTTGATTTATAAATGATATATATAATTTTTAAATGATATACATATATAGAATTTATAAAATAATCACGTTTTGGAAATTCTTTGGATATTTGTTACAAAGAAAAGTAAAAGAATGTTCTCAGCTTGAAATGCTCTGTGATATAAGATACGTATATGACGTATTAGAGAAAAAAATTATTTTTCGTTGGAAAAAATCATTAATGTATTGTTTAAAAAGAGAAGCAGATATATGAAATATATATATATATATATATATATATATATATATCCTATTCCAATCAACAATTTATTACAGAAGTCTATTTGATTACTCACGTAAAGATGCGCAATTCTGGAACGGTTCCATGAGAAGAACCACGTGAATCTTATTTATGATCGTTTATTTTCAATAGGATTTAAAATTAAATAGTTAATATCATTTAATATTAAGTATCTAAAATTTAATCTAATATCATCTAAACAATTGATTGAAAATATTTTTTAATATTCAAGTACAAGTACCACAAATTTTACAATAAAACAAGAGTCACTATTTCAGAGCACTATTTCGTTATTTCGGCCATTGATAAGTTCGGCATAGCATTCAGCACAGGGAAAAGTATTAGGCTGGATCCACAATAGCTAGTCCACAAAGGTTAAGCTGTAAGGCTTATATCTATTGAGACCACGTGTCCGTCGTGAAATACGCACTCTACACTATCTGCATTTCCTAGTAACTTCTGAAAAAAATCACTGCTTAGCTGCTAATAATCACACAAAAACGCACATACATTACATATTTATAAATCCACTTTACATATCTAATGCTCACTTCATTTAACTTAATAACAAAAATTTTTTATCAAACAACAGTATGATAATTAATGTCCATAGTTATAAATAAAACATTTTATTAGCCCGATATATTCCTTGCACGTTATATTTATGAATTACAAAATATTTCGTCTTTGAGAACTTTTCTCAAAATTTATAAATATATATAATATTTAATTATTTTATTATTTTATTTCGTATTTAATTATTTGATGAACACAGACAATCTTTGGGCATGATGAGAGCACAGATATTTTTGCACCGTACATCACAGACTTAAGGGTGAAGGGTGGCGACGAGTGCTTATAGAGAAACGGGTCCAATACCGTGGTTCTCATGGTGGCTACTCTATGAAATATTCAACACGCCCGCGGGGCACGCCGTCATTGCTTTTGTAGGAACGTAACCGCCGCCGTCCCGTCGCCTCGACGCGTCGGCGTCGGCGTCGGTGTCTGTCTGTCGAGCGAATGCATTATTTCTCTTCATTTCTCCTCGCGGAGACCAGGTCCTCTCCTTCTGTTCTCTTCTACACTTATTTATCTCGAGATACTATCGAAATAAGTATCTGCGTAAATATCTAGATCTCCAATTCGCTAGATCTAGCTCTAGGTCTAGATTTTCACTTCTTTGCCAGCTTTATTCGAGTTCCCGAACAGGTGCAAAAGTTTAAGTGAACCGAAAAGTGTCGCGATACCTTTGATGAGTTTCGGAACGCACAAAAATCCGTGATTTTTCTTGCGTTCCGAAACTTATCGAAAGAGAACACTTTTAAATTCAATAATTACATATATCGAAAAGTTAAAATTAGGACATGAATGGAGCGTCGAAAATGTCACAGTCATACTTCTTATTTGTGTCTGTTTATTGAGATGCAATTTAATTGAACTATAAGTCTATGAAAGTTCAGAATTATAAATTATTATTATAACAAAAATTTTAGAAACAAAAGAAAGTATGATTATACAGTGAGGAATTATATGATTTTAATCATTTGAGAATTGAATTAACATTTGAGTTCGCATAAATAATTGATACGATTTTATAATTATTCATGATATAATTAAAGCAGAATGAAAGTATTCTATATTGGAGATAATATCATTAATATAATTTGGAATATAATTTTGATTCTTGTGACTGAAAATTATTAACGTCATCAGCTACTCATTAAACTCTCTTCATTTTTTAATTATTTTATAATTATGTAGGAAGCTATTACAAATTGCGCGTCTCTCTCAATTAAGCATCACTCTCATCTCTTCAATGTATTTTCCGCTTTTTTCTAATTAAGAGTAATACTAACGATATAGAGAAATACATTGCACGTCGTAGAAACAAACGATTCTTGTTTGCAAGACGCTCAATAGTGATTCTGAAAAGCCGCTTTGGACCGCGAATTAATTTGCCAAATCGGAGAAATGCACATTTTCCGGCGAAGAGAGCGAAAAATAAGAAGAAAACTCCTTCATCTGGCGAGGTACGAAGTAATTTTTTCGCTCTCGAACTGGCGGAAGCTGTATGTACTTCAGACGTCTGAGCACTCGGCCGTCGATCTGACATCGTTTTAATGAGACTGCGACTAAAAGGGAGAAAGAGAGGGATCGAGAGAAGAATCCAGTCAGAAAAAAAGAGACAGCAATAAGGAAGCATTATGGAAGCGCGGCGAGTTCGGCCGAATTAGCGGCGAGCTAATGACAAAAAGTCGAATTAAAATAACAATTGCGTCGGGACGAGAGTACGCGAGGGGATTTAAATCCCTTCCGTCCTCCCCGGTCTACCCCCGGCGCTCCCTTTTGCGTTCGTAGACTCGCTGGAATATTTTGAAATTGCAAATTTGCGTCGCAACCCGTCTCTCCTTCTCTCTCGCTCTTTTCCGGGAATTTAAATAAAATACGCACCCCATCGATTCGCAGCTTCCCGGGCGGGAACGATGGCAGAGGTGCAGGCCAGGGGTACCTCTTTATCGTTTTCCGATGGAATCGTATTTGGCGACAACGCGGATCGATGCGTCCCTCGCGTAAACGCAACGTCGCATTCCGTCATATTCGCGGATAAGTGGATGCTGCGCAGACGGATCGACGATGTCGTAATGGCCAGTCAAATCGCCACGATAAAATATTTTCAATCGCAAATTCTAGATTTATTTTGCCTGGGAATTCCTTCTGACAGATATTTAACTTTATACAATTCTTACATTTATAAATTCTAATGAACACTTTTTTTGCACATTTTATTTTTTTTTCTCTTTTAAAAATACGTAGGAAGCGACCTAATTTGCTTGTTTCGCGTTTCGAATTTTTCTAGGAAATTCTTTCTCTTTGTATTTTAAATAATTACCTGGAAACACTGTATTTTTGATCGTTTATCTCTTATCTGCCATCTATAATTAAGAATTAAAATAATCTGGAAATATATTCTCTAACATTTATTTACTTTTGCATTCCAATAAGAGCATAACATTCGAATATACTCGAGCAAATCGACGAAGTCGTTGAGACACATGCGAGGAAAAGCCAGAGATCCCTCGATACTTTTCAGCATCTGACTCATGTATCGCGATATGCGCTGCGCGATAGAATATTATCCGCGTAAACGCTTGAATGTGCGGGATGATTGCAAAAGCGAGTGGCAGCCGGTGCGGCAGTTTGCGAAAAAGGGGTTAACATACATGTTCCTTCTACGAGAGAAAGCGCGGGAGATGCTCCAGAATCATCCGCGATGCGAATACACATGACATAATGTTATCGAACTCCGTCGTTTCCTCGCCAATTTTCTCCATACTACATACATGTTGGCACAGCCGTTTTGCAAAAACTTTTTGCGGCTTTTTCCAAGTTATGAGAGGAAGCCGTCGGTTCATTGCCAATCTCTCGTGAACGGAATGATATCTAATAATTATATTAACGCTATTTATGTCGAGATCATAATATGTGATGCATTTATTATTATTATTATAAAATTTATTTTTATTATTATTATAAAATTACTTAAAGTTTGAAATTAATAACACATGATATAGCACTTTCTCGTTTTATGAGGAGATATTTCGTTTTATTATACGATAGTTAGTTATCCTCAACATTCCTCGAACGAACGAGCTTCGAGCTTTACCTGGTCGACATCTGGAAGCGCTCTAGCTTCAATGCCGACAATTGTTTTCTTCTCTTTCACTTTCTTGTTATCATCTTGCTCTTATTCTCGATGAATCGTCGGGAAGATTTATGAAAGTTTTTGGAAAGTAAGCAGGTCTTGCGCGCTGTTTTATTTGATAATAGCGGCTGCTCTGGGCTATATATCGCGAAACAAACAAAAATAATATAATTAAAAAATTTTATTATCGTTTTAATGAGATTGCGACTATAAAAGCGAGAGAGAGAGAGAGAGAGATGTATACATATGTATGTATACATCTCTCTCTCTCGCTATTCTGTTTTTTCTTACGGAAGGCCATTCGGAAGCCAACATGCAGTGCACGCAAATACCTCCGGCATTTATTTAGTCAGCAAGCGGCCATTTAGGGTTTTCCGTGGCAATCAGCATTGCATTCATCGAACGAGATTCCAACAACGCTTTGAAGTCACATATGACTGTGCTAAATAGCGGCATTAGATGTGAGATGTGGATAGCTCAGTGGTTTAGAGCAGTTGCCCGGAAAGCGAAAGACTGAAGTTTCATTGCCGATCCAGCTATTTACACCTCACATATTTTTTACACTCCACAAATATTGTTTTCTAGCAATTCGTTGGGCTAAGAAGGGTGTGAATGCTCTCTTCACCCAGGATATGCGTCGATGCCGTTGTCATCGGATAAATTCTGCCGCTTGTTGATCAAATGAGCACATAGACAGGTCCTCCCTCACACATATGTTCCTATATTTACTTGATTTAATTGGAAAAACAATTACAAAAAACTACCGAATCTGATAAGTTCATCACATTTTTCTCGAAAATAGAGAAAGATTTCTACTATCAAAATTGTAGGACAAGCAAAAAGATATATTGATCTCGAATAACTTATTGTTAGATTCTTTTTAATTTTTACATTAATTTCCTTCTTTTAAATAGGAAAAATTTCCTTCTTTTAAATAGAAAAAGATAGCTTTGAGAAATTCTATCGATAATTCAATGAAATAACTTCATAACTTTTGTATCATAATATCTTTTCGAAAAGTCAATTGTTATCGAGATATTTACAAAATTAAAAATCAGAATGAAAATGTGGAAAACAGATTCCTTTTTTATTATTACAATAATTCTCTTCACTGTAAATCATTAACATCAAGACCTTCTTTATTAGAATATAACATTTTTTTTAAATTAATTAAAACGAAATGGTATACATAAATAACTCTACTATTTTAATTTTATTAAAAACATCAATGTGTATTATTATATTAATGATACTTGTTATTGACTTGACTAATATGAAAATATCAATTTCTTAATCCTTGTTTTGTAAATCCTTTTTTTATCTATATTTAAAGTCTTGTTCGAGATTTGAAGGCATCACGTAACTGTCAATCAATTGATCGTAATGACGAAATGTGTTTGTCGGTAAAATCAATACGTTGGCGATTATCGGTGTAACTGGCCGGCTTGTATACTCGCCGGAAGTCGAGCACGTTATCGGACTTATTGGATTCCGAGTCACCTTTGTAAGCTCGTCGTCCGTAGATGTTAGATGGGATAAATGCGGTGGCGGCTGTCAGAAAAGTCGGAATTCCTCGGGGGATGCTGTGTTGGATGAGAAGAAGCGACGGGCAAATCGAGGAAGAGGCGGGTGGAGAGGAAGCAGGGTGATGAGGGGACAAACAACTGGCAAGAGCCAGAAGAAGCAAGCAGAAGATACGGTAGACAAGAGCGAGGAGGTGAATTTTGCGGTACTAACGGACAGGCCAGTCGATGAGATGAGAGGAAGGGAAAGAGAAAGAGGAAGAGAAGGGCAGTAAAGAGGATAGATTGCCGGTGCCAGGCTTAGGGACGCCTCTATAGATCATAGAGGGTACGTTTTGAATAATTTACCGAGGCTATCTGTTTCGCGCGGGGAGTCAAAGAGGGTGTCAAGGTTGCGATGGGATCGAGTTTACTTCCAATCACGGGAGAATTCCGATCAACGGCTCCAAATGCGTCTTTTCGCAATAGGGATGCTAGATTGGTAGCGAGATTGAGAAGAAATAATGTAGAGCTTCCTGTGCGATTAAAGATACATCAGGAAAATACGTTTGAGAAAGGATACGTAATCTTAATTTAAAGGCAGAAAAATTAATTTACCGCGCAATTATTGCTGCGTTATTCCAATATAACATGTCAAAAAATTATATAAGCTTGTAAAAATGAAAAAAATTATTAATATAAGTGAACATAATTTCTGAGAAATAATGAAATCTTTGAAACTAAATCTTTTTAAAGAAAACGCAAATTTTGCAAATATTTTAATTACTAATCAAATTTAAATATTTATAATATTTATAATATTTAAATATTTATAATATTTGACATGCTATTTATATATATTACTATGTAAAGTGCTTTTGTCAGAATATATTTTATGCTGAACAGAGTACTTTGTAACTACGCACATTCTTTCTTATGTGAAATTCTCTCAAGAAGAATAGAAAGTTAAAATAATTGTCTAAATATTTCTTTTGTAATATGTGTTTTTCTACCGCATATCTGCTCCATTTTAATACAGATAAATATCGCTTCGCATCAAATCGTTGTCACACTTTATAATGTAAACAAGTAAACAAACAAACTGAAACATTTCCAGACGCATCAGAAAATACAAGAGCTCATCTCTCGTTTTTGACTTAAAACATACGACACCGCAAAGCTCTCTGCGCTCTTATCTTAATTCGAAAACTTTGACTTAGCAAATAGCGACATCAAACTAGTTCGTTAGCTCGTCGACTTCGTTACACGTAATCTTTAATAAGGTGTTTCTCTTTTCTAAGTTATTTCTTTATAAGCCAAGTTATTTCTTTATTTGCCATGATCAATTTATGAAGATTTTTCTATAATCATATATTTTATTGTAACTGGTTTGAAATTATAAAATTTCCGTATTTATAAATAAAATTTTTCAAAAAAATGATTTTAATTGATTTAAATAATTGTAAAAAAATTTTTTATATTACATATAATAAATATATAGAATATATTCTTTATAGTTATTAAATAGATATATGTATAAAAAATTTCCACATACAAATAAAAATATAGTCAAAATAAAATTGTTACCCAAAAAAATTTATATTGTAAAATGTATTTTCTATATGTAATAGTTCTTAATCTTTTTAATACTTCATAAACATCTTTCGTTAAACAGATTTGTTAATCTCTATTTATGGAAAATCAGCGATAACTTGATATTAAATTTTACATTAATTAAAGTTAAACACCTCCTTAAAAGTTAAACATTCTCTTAAAAGCTAATCAGACTAATCAGGCTTGAAACTTTGGGAAGGTGGATTATACAGAGAGCTCCAAGAAAATTATGTTGCACTCAGGGCACCTTATGCATCTCGATCCGCCGCTGGCGAGAGGGGAAAACGATCGGGAAGGGATCGTCGGCTTACTACGTAGCAGTTACACCCAATGAATGACGTCAGGTGCGTACGTGCAGTGCGCGTTCTATGTCGTGCGGAAGAACACGCGTGTAGCTCGCTCCGAAAGGAAAATCCTGGAGAGCGACATAACGATGATGCGGAATAACATCGTGGGTGTGTTGTGTTGCGTGTTGCTGTTATTTGCTGCGACAGGTGAGATTTTCCACCTGAGAATCTCGAGAATAAATGGAATAATAGACATATCTGAATAGCGTCTTGATACACACAAGCACATTCACTGCCATCTTGGAAACGAACCTTGTGGTTCGTTGATTGTTTACGGATGGGCGTGAGAGTTGTTCCATTTAATTTCTGTTTGATAGTCCTTTAATTATTTTAATCTTATTTAATCCGATATGTCTGAAAATAAATGGATCTTATATTTTTAGCTAAATGTAAAATAATATGTAATGAGAAAATTAAATAAGTATATAAGTGTATATTTTGTTAACAGAAATGCATTTATTTCAATTATTATTGAAAATAGAAACAAAATGAATAACAGAAAGCTTAACATTTCTTTATGAAATTATATTTTTTTATGAAATAATTAAAAACGTGAAAATATTTTTCGTGCATTAATAATTTTTCTAGGTTAAGAATTGAGCTTGTCATCAATTACTTCAACTGTACTAATTAGACACTGATTTGAAAATGCAATTAATGAATAATTTTTATATTAATTATTGGAATTTGCTTCAATCTACTTTAGCACTGCTAATTGACATCAAGATGCGATTAATATTGTTATAATAATAAATAAAGATTAATAATGTTATTGCATCTCGAAATGCACCAGGTACTGAGGCGATACGCTGTTATCAATGCAGTTCTGATATGGATGGAAAGAGCGAAGACCTTTGTGGAGCCTACGCGAATTTCGACAAAGACAGGAATGTACCTATCGAATGCAACAGCGAGGAATCGCATATGCCTGGTACATTTTGCGTTAAGTACACCGAGCAGAGCCCGCGTGGTTTCATCTGTAAGTACACTTATGTAGTGAGATATTTAGTAATGCAACATAATGATAATCATGATAATATGTCAATTGCACCTTCTTAGACATGTAATGCGATTGCAAAAATAAATTTAGTTATTGAATAAATCGAATATAATATATTTACGCAAAAATTTCAGATTCAGAAAATCAGGCATAGCTTCCAATTTAATTTTCCAAAATTGTGAAAAATTTAACAATTCAAAGAGCTCTTTGAATTTAATATGATTAGAATTATTTACGCGTGCTTTCAGCATCCGAATCGTGCGAATAATTGCACGATAACGCATTCGATTACGTGTTAATTAATTAATTAATCGACAATGTTCAAGGGGACGGTAGATGGCGACAGGTGATCCGACGATGTGCTTCCGTTGCCAGTACGGGAGTCACAGGGGTCTGTAACTGGGGCGTTCGCGAGAATGGTGTTTACTGGCAGGAGTGTTACTGCTCCGAGGACGCATGCAATGCAGCTTCCGGTCCAGTATCCTTCGTTACGTTACTCCTCGTGACATGCGGCGCCGTCTTTACGCTATTTTGTTTTAAGTAAAAGGAACGTTCTCAGGGTTTCCTTAAGTTTTCGAAAGATGAACACATTAATAAGACAAATAAATATTGACAATTAAAAAGAAATCTCGCTTTATGAAGCTTTTATTAGAAGAGTGAGAAGTTTAAATTATATAATTAAAAAAAAACGACTTAGAACTTGTAGATACTTTAAAAATATATCCGTCCACAGCGATATGTTAATAGATCTCTCGAATTCTCGTTCATGTAAATAGCTTAAGTAATATATCCGTCCATATATTTGGCATTGTTAAAAATGCCACGATATGTGATTCATTTATAATATGTAATTAAGCTAAGATGAACAATTAATTAACTTTGACACAGATGACTAAAAAGTGTTAACTCAGCAAAGATAATAGATCTATTTATTATTGCATTCTTTGAGAAAAAGTTTTATGCGAAATTAGTACAAAAATGTAATAAGAATAATATGTAAGATAAAATGTTAATTCTTTTATTTTATTATGTTAATGCAATAATATAATTCTCGACGAATTAAAGACTCAAAAATGCCTTTTATATAAAAGTAGCGTTTAATTGCTTTTAATCTATTTAGAATAATACTTTGATCATAATGTCAGATTTAGAATAACGATGAGTTAAATCATATGTATTTTACATACATTATTATAGAAAAAAGCTATCTTTAAAATTTAAAATTTTTAGCTATCTTTAAAGTTTAAAATTTTTTAACGATTCCTGGTTTTATTGATTACGATCTTAAAACTACACAATTTTTTATTATAATTTAATTAATTTATTAAATAAGCTATATATCACAAATTAAAAATCTCATATAATTATTTTATACTGCTTAACATGTTGTTATCCTAAATCTTTCGAATCGCACATAATCTACATTTGTCATAGTCTTTGAAAATTTTATATTTTTCTATGTAAAAACGCGTAGATTGTGTAACTAAGACAAAACAGATTTATTATATAATTCAATTTTATACTTCTTTATTATTATATATTAATAAAAAAATCTATGTAAGTATAACATACATAAACATGCATATTACTTGACTAAAACCTTTATTAAATAAAAATCGAAATCAGAGTGAGAGAAAAAGATAGATAGATAGATAGATAGATAGATAGATAGATAGATAGATAGATAGATAGAGAGAGAGAGAGAGAGAGAGAGAAAGAGAGAGAGAAGTTGTATAAGAATACCAATCTCTACTAATATTCGTCGAATCAAATATATACATTTAATTAATACAAGATTGATAATTAATACAAGATATATTATCTTCTTTATTGTTCCTAACCATTGAATATTTCGAAACTGAATACGTCACTTTAAGTTTGGCGATGTATTATGCTTTCCTTCAATTTTTTCCATTTTTTTGTTTGTGAATCTTTGAGAAGCCATTAGACGCGCTCGCGCACGTCCCACAGTAACATTAACGGAGTGGAAAAACGCGGCGAAAATGAAAGCTACTTTTGTCTCTCGGCTTGACTGACTTTTTGCGGTGGCTCTGAGGAGAAAACGCACCTCGTAAGCCAGGAGATTAATGTTTTCCGTGGCGTTGCTGATCGCATCTGCGCGAAATTCTCATTTGCTGGCTGTTTACGCCTGCTTAAGTGCAACTTACGTTATTTCAGTCGCGTTTAACGCCACGACTAGATTATACCATCCTTTCTTATCTAGATTTATGATACCTGCTAATCTCATGCTTATTTTTATATCCTTTTATATCCTTTTATTTTACGATTCACGACCGCAAAATTAATGACTTCATAAGCATATTTAAAAATTTAGAGGCTATTTAAAAATGTATATACAGAAAATACATAAATTATTAAATTATAAAATTATTTGCAAAATATGTAGAAATAATGATTTTTAAAATACTTTTCTATTCTATAATAATAAAGCTAAATTAATAAATTTGATAAGTATAAATTGAAACCTATATGTTTACCAATTATAATCTCCCATCAAAGAATTATTTTTTTTTAAATTTCTTCAATGAAAGTTTGCCAGAGACTTAATACAATGACAAGGCGATAAAATTGAAACAGTATATGATATTAATATTTAAATAAAGTTTCTTTACGTAATATCGGAAACACATTGAGGACACCCTACATCGCGCATCTCATTCATCACATGTCACTAGCACGCACGTTAAGCGCGTATTGTGGGAAATTCCTAAATGACGGTCTCGCGATCCGCACTTTTGCGGGAAGGGATTAAGTCCGATACACGCTTGAACCCTCAGACCGACTGCTGTCGCGGAATCGGTTCCGATATTAAGCCCAAACCCAAGGACACCCTCCTGAGCGTACGTTACACCGTAATGCCGGAAATTCGTCCGCCGCGAGTTAATTACGTCACACGAGACTATTAATGCCTTAACAGATCCGACGTGCGCGTTGTACGTATAACAATGGTCTCGGCTATTTAGGCCCTTCTCGCACATTACGTCACCACGTGCCAACCCTCGTTACTCGGGACGCCGTATGATAATTAAGATCGTCGCGGCTCGAGCATTACACCGGCAGCAACAGCGGTAGCTGATAATACTTTGGAAAGGTCTTATCACATTCCACAATCCTCTCCGCAATATAACATCGAAAGGTTTCCGCAGGTAAACCGGGGAACGATAAATGCCTTTCGAGATGGATGAAAATTATACTAGGTATACTTAATACGCAAATATACTTAAATATCAGATTTCTTGGTTTATGACAAATGAAACGAAAATTCCTGTAGAAAAAAATAGTAGTCAAAATATTAAGGGAAGATTGCTTAAGTATCGCGTATGTTTTTACCAACAAAATTTTAAGAGTACAAATAGAGTTCTTGCCACACAAATATCGTTAAGGAAAATTATTGATTAAAGAGAAAAATGGTGATCATAAAAAAATATTTATTTATAATTATTATGATTTTTAAAACTACGAGTCATCAACAATGTAATTTATCAAATCGTCTGACACAATTTCATGGAGGATTATATATAATCTTCAAAAACTTACAAAATATACTCCTTTTTCTCAAATTCTTATTTATTGATTTATTCAAGGATGAAAAGGCAGAAAATCATGACTTTAAGATGGCATTGAGATTTTAGGAAGAAGGTATTAGCAATTTTCTCGACTGGATGCTTTATTTTCCACTATAGAATGATTCAATATCCGCATTTTGGCTGTTATTACATCAATGTGCTTAATTAACTGCCACAAGGGCAGAAAGTGAATGATGCTGCTCACCTCTCTAACGGCATTTCCTATTTTCATAACGTGGCCGCCCCGTTATGAAATTTAGATTTTAAAGAAAAGAGGATAAATAACATTCAAAAACAGTTTAATGTTTACAATTATGTTTCTTGAAATTGGAGCAATTTTATTTCATATAGATTAATGCGAAAAAATTCTTAAGCAATTTATTTGTCTATAGGATGATATAAAAGAAAAACTTTAGAAATCTAATACGTAAGCGTCTCAATAAGAAAGTGGAAATTTGTAAGTTGAAAGTAAAAATTTCTTGTCAAATTAAATGAAATCTTTTTTTTCAAATATTCTGAAAACAAATTATAATTAAATTATTTTAAAAATATTTAATATATAAGATTTGCGTATATAAAAAAATTTCTCCCGTACATAAACACGAATTTTAAAATATGTTTTATCTTCGATCAAAAACCGTATATAAATTTTTGCATATGAACATTAAAAGTTAATATTTATGACATAATTAATAAATGAAAGATTATATATAATTGTATAATTATATAATTATTGTATAATATTATATATAAATGTATGAGATTAAATAAAAAAGTAAAACAACTTTTTTGTTTTTATAGACAAGTTCCTAGCTTAATTTTTAATCTTATATGTATAAAAATACTTTATTTTTAAATGTTCATTTACTTTTTGCTTTGCTCTCATACGTAATTATATAAGTTATAAGTATATAATTATACATACATATATATATATATATATATATATATATGTATATATATATATGTATATATATATATATGTATATATGTATGTATGTATATATATATATATATATATATATACATATAAGACAAAACATAGTATATCAACAATTCGATCACAGCACATCAACATAATAATGATTTGATGTCAAGAGGTAAATTTATATCATAAACTAATTTAAATATTTTGTCTAAATCATTTTGTGATAAACGTTGAAATTCATTAATACGTACAACTTCTTTTAGATACAACTTAATAAATAGAGAAGTATGTTTTCCTAAAGATTTTGCATTATATGTCAACGCAAGCTGTATAAGATCGATGGAATTTTCAATATTAATCATATGTATCAAATAGCTTTCACATAATATTTTAAGAGTTTGTACATCATATTTATGAGCCATTATTAGTAAATCTCGCAGCATGTGATAATTAAGTGGATCCGGTAATAAACCGAATAAAATAAATGATAACATTTGCTTAAAAGGTATTGGCATCTCCCCTATTTCTATCTCATATGATAAGTCTTTTTTATTTTCAAGCATATCGAATATGTTCTTAAAATATTTACTATTAATAGCATATAGTGCTTTTTTGGGAAAACTGTAATGTTCTTCTTTGATTTTAAATGTAATTAGTTCCTTATCCTTAGCCTTCAAATTGATAAGATTTGATTGTTCAGAGTTGAATTGTTTGTATAATATTGTACTTGATGGCATCATATCTACGTACATACTTTCAGTAACAAATAGGTGAGCAAATTCGATTTCGAAATACATTACAAGGTTATTGTTAGTGATATAGCTTTGCAACGATTCTATGGTAGTTTCATATAATAATGTCATATTTGATATTAAGCCAGAGGTTGATTTACATTTTATCTTTCGAAAATCTGATGAAGAAACAATGCCAACATCGCATACACCCTGAAAGTTTGTTCCAGTAAGTAAAAAAAATCTTAGTGTACTTTTCATCACTTCAGATGTATCGATATCGATAGTTAATTTAATCCTGTATAGAGATGTTTCCGGAAACATTGCAGAAAATAATTCTTTTTCGATTTTAAAAACAGTCATGACACAATTAATTTCCCAGATATATTCAACTATACTCGTTTGTAACCATGTCCGGGAAAATGACTTATTATATAAACGTTCAGGTATTGCCTGTTTCGGCATGATTTTGGTGATAGTATCATTCGCTTCTTTATTGAAGTGAGCTAAAATATTTTCTGTTCCTTTTCTAGGACGAATATCGATGGAGGCTTGTTCTTCTTTAAGGAAAATAGTTTCATCAAAAGTACCTTTTGTTTTTTTTGTGGGTTGAATTCTGGAAGTAACGCTTGCTTTCTTTTTGTTAAAAATCTGAAATAATATCAAATTATATGTATATTTATTAAGTCTAGAGGTGATGAAAACTATTTAAACTAGTATTCTTTTTCTAACAAAATAACATTTTTTATTAATTACAATTTCAAAAATGTATCGAATGAATAATTAGATTTACAAGAAGAACTTGTAGCGCACAATTCTTTTCGCCAATCATATATATTGGCTATTGACTATTCATAAATATTTGAATATTTTCTTAAAAGAATAAGACAAAATTTAACTGACTACAATACAATAATTAACAAGATCTTTTCTAGTATAAATAATAGTGATTATTAGTGTCATAGTTTAAATATCTCATGCTGTGTGATAAGAGACGAACGGATTCCGTGAGCGGCATATACAGGGTGGCCCCGAACGTTCCAGCCAGACTTTGAGATCTTATAGGAAATTTAATTCTGAACAAAAAATTTCGTATAAACATGGGTCGAAAAATGCTTATAATATTTTTTCGTATAAACATGGGTTGAAAAATGCTTATAATAATTTTTATCGTTTTTTTAAAAACGATAAAAATAATTTTTATCGTTTTTTTCAAGCAATTTAGTTAGTTTAATTTTCTTTTCACCTTTTGCTCTTCCTTCATCAGAGGTTTTTGAGCAATAACTTCTTAAGGAAGCATTTTTCGATCCATGTTTATACGAAATTTTTTGTTCAGAATTAAATTTCCTATAAGATCTCAAAGTCTGGCTGGAACGTTCGGGGCCACCCTGTATATACTATAAGCTTTTTATTTTAAGTCCATTAAACTGAATTAACACTTAAAAATATTACAAAATATTACAGATGAATTAATTTATTTAAATATTGTGTATGCTATCTTAACATACATTTTTCTAATGACACTAGAAAAACGAAGCAGATTTTAAAAAGGAATATTGAGCACTTACATGATTTTGCATTGTACTTCTTATTCTCGAAGGCTTGAGTCTAAGGTTAAGTTAAGTTAAATATATTTTAAGTCTTAACTCAAAATATATTTTGGTATCAATAGTTTGATATTACTAGAATATAAATATATAATATTTAAGAATATAAAAATGATCACGTTGTAATTAATTATTTTTTTTAAAGCAGTTAAAAATCTCTTACTTTTTTTTTGTTTTAAAAATTAATTATCTGGAATTTTTTTTTGTTAATCCTGGTATTCTCTTCTAAGAAATGATTTTTCTCCCGTTCTTTATGCCACTCAAAGAACTTATTTATGTAATTTATTTCCATCGACTTTTTAACCGACTGTATCGTTTTAAAGGACTGAAATGATGAGGCTGAAGATGAACCGGCGGTTGACGATGTTGTTATTATTTTAGCAATATATTTACTTTATTGAACTATAGCTTTCTTTTTTTATATTTGATCGTATTAATTTTGAGTTATTTCTCATTTTCTTTTAAACTGTTATAAAACTTTAATTTATAATTATTGATATAAAATTTAATCTCTTAAATAAATGAAATTGTTACTAAATTTTTTCTAGAATTTTTGGCGGTTTCTTAGGAGAAAATTAATTCCTGATCACACACATATGCACACACATACACACACACACGATTTTGAAGATGCTCAATTTAAACGTATAATGCAATCTATTTATTTAAATTAATAATCTACCTCAAATCTCTTTATTTATTTAAGTTAATTATAACTCGATTTAATTATAATATCTAATATTATGTAATTGTGATTAGCTTCGAATTAAAATTTTCGCTATTGGATTAAAATAAACATTAGATTTCGTCGAAGAAAAATCATGACTACAAAAATAAGCAACATGTAATTTGAACAAATGTTATAAAAAATAACGTTTTTCTAAAATTATGTCTATTTAGAAAAAAACCATATAGATAATAATTATAGATCGATATTATTCGAGATTGAGATAATACTTGTATGACATATGTCTTTGTTATATATGACGGAAATCCTTAAAACTTTATTTTATTATCAAAATAGTAATAATACGCTTGATGCTTGCTTCAATATATTTTTATTTTGTGATATTTTCCGCAGTGTGGAAATAAAACTCAAATGCAAAATTGTTTACATTTAAGACATTATATAATAAATACAGACAGAGCTTTAGTTTGTAGAATAAATTAATATTTTTTAAATTAAAATTAATATTATTTGTTGTCAATCTTGAACTAATTTACAAGCTAATTTGAAATGATATTTATGCGATATTTATAAGAGCGTGAATTTCATCTAAAAAGCAATTTATCATAACAGAATTTCATTACAAAAATTGTGAAAAACATCGCATTCTATAAAAAGATTACGATTTATTCCTATATATTAATGTTATTAGGAATATAAATGAGTGTTACGATTGTTAAAATTATGAAATGATTTATTAGTGATTTTCCCGGACGAGCGCTTCATTTTTTACATCAGAATGATTCGGTGATTCTATTTTAATCGTTACTACATTACTACGTGCTTAATTAATTGCTGCAAGAGCAGAACGTGTGTGATGTTGCTCACTTGTCTAACGGCATTTTTTATTTTCATTATTTTAATTAAATTTTAAAGAAAATTTTAAAAAAATTTTAAATTTTATTTTTTCCATTTTAAAGAAAAAAAGGATAAATAATATTCAAAAAGAACTTAATTAAGCTAGATGTACAATTTTATTTCATTTCTTAAATTTTAATAATTTTACTTTATATAGATTAAAATGAAAGAATTTTTACATATAAGTAATCTCTATTTGTTTATAGGACGCTAAAGAGAAACTTTAGAAATTTAATACGACAGACGCATAAATATATATATATATATATATATATATATATATATATATATATGTAATTGCCTGAAAAAACCAGTTGAAATTTCTTAAAAATATTTTGTCAAATTAATTGTAATTCTTTTTTTCCAAAAATTATTCGGAAAAGAAATTTTATTATTTTAAAAATATTTAATATATAAATTTTGCATATATAAAAAAACATTCCTTTGTACATAAATCTTAATTTATATCTTACTTCGATCAAAAAATATATAAAAATTTTTACATATGAACATCAAAAGCCAATATTTGTAACATTATTAATAGATGAACAATAAACTTGTAAATTGTATATTATAACATATATTTACATAATTATATAATTTATAATTATACGAGATCAATTAAAAAAAAATAACAGATTTTTTTGTATTCAGCAAACAAGTTGCTAGGATAATTTTTAATCTTGTATATATATATATATATATATATATATATATATATATGTAATACATGATGTTAAAACGTTCTTTTACTTTTGCTTTCATATGTATAATTATATAAATATATATATAATTATACATATATAATTATATATATATATATATATAATTATATATATATATATATATATATGAATACACACACACACACACATACATATGTTTATACATATATATATGTTTATACATGTGTGCGTGTGTGTGTGTGTGTGTTACACTATTATATAAGTTATATAAATGTATGAAATAAGTTGATGTATATGCAACGCAAAGTCAGTTTTTCTAGTGTAAATGTTTGTCAAAAGAAATTAGACAATTTTGTACTTTACTTATAGCTAATAATAAATGAGTATACACATACAAGAAGAATACAACAAAAGATCTTGAAAATTAAGATGCGTGAGATATAGTAGCCGATTTAAATGATTATTATACTAAGCAAAAATTGTGAGAAATTATATAGATATCTCACAGTGTATTCCACAGTATATCATGTGCCAATTTGATATCAATAGATAAATTTGAATCACAAATTAATTTCATTATTTTGTTGAAATTATATTGTGGTAAACATTGAAATTCTTGAGTATGTACAATTTCTTTTAGATATAACTTAATAAATAATGCAGTATATTTTTCTAAAGATTTTGCATTATATGTCAACGCAAGCTGTATAAGATCGATGGAATTTTCAATATTAATCATACGTATCAAATAGCTTTCACATAATATTTTAAGAGTTTGTACATTATATTTAGAAGCCATTATTAGTAAATCTCGCAGCATGTGATAATTAAACGGATCCGGTATTGAACCGGATAAAATAAATGATAACATTTGCTTGAATGGTACTGGCATCTCGTCTATCTCTATCTCGTATATGCCTTTTTCATTTTCAACCATCGCATAATCGCATATGCTCTTAAAAAACTCACTATTGGTAGCATATAGTGTTTGTGCGGGCAAATTATAACGTTCTCTTTTAAATTTAAATGTAATCAGTCCCATACTCTTAACTTTCAAATTGGTAAAATTTGATCGTTTGAAGTTTAATTCTTCGCATAATGTTGTATTTAATGGCACATCTATGTGTATATTTTGAGTAAGAAATTTATAAATGATTTCGATTTTGAAATACATTACAATTTTATTGTTAATTAAATATTCTTTTAACGATTCTAAAGTAGTTTCATATAATAATATCATATTTGATATTAAACCTGGGGAGGTTGATTTACATTTTATCTTCTGCGAATTGAACGGATTGACGACGCAAACATCGCATGTACCCTTAAATTTTTTTTCAGTAACTAAATAAAATCTTAGTTTACTTTTCATTACGTCAGATGTATCGTTATCAATACTTAATTTAATCCTGTATAAAGATGTTTTCGGAAATCTTGCAGAAAAAAATTCTTTTTCGGTTTTAAAAATAATAATGGCACTATTAATTTCCCAAGTGTATTCAACTATACTAGATTCTAACCATGTGCGGGAATATGACTTATTATATGTAAGTTCAGATATTGGGTGCTTGAAATGATTTAAAATATTTTCTCTTTCTTCTTTATGAATTTCCACAGAGGTATCCTCTTTTTTTTCGATGGTTTCATTGGAAGTACCCTCTGTTTTTTTCGTGAGTTGAATTCCAGTAAAAGTATTGCTTGCTTTCTTTTCGTTGAAAGTCTGAAATGATCAAATTATATATTGATTAAGATTGAAGATGACGGAAATTATCTAAATTAATATCTTTTCTTCTAATAAAATAATATTTTCTACTAATCACAATTTCAAAAATGAACCGAATGAATAATTAGATTTACAAGAAGAACTTGTAGCGTACAATTCTTTTAGCCAATCATATATATATTTACTATTCATAAATACTTGAATATTTTTGCGAAAAGAATGAGACAAAATTAACTGACTACAATTATTAACAAGATATTTCTTTCGTTTATCTAATAGTGATTATTAGTTTAAATATCTCATGCTGTGTGATAAGAAATGAACGGATTCCGTGAGCGACATATATTATATATACTATAAGCTTTTTACTTTAAGTATGTTAAGTTGAATTAGCACTTAAAAATATTACAAAATATTACAGATAAATTAATTTATTTAAATATTGTGTATGCTATCTTAACATACATTTTTCTAATGACACGTGCTAAAAAAACGAAGTAAATTCTAGAAAGGAATATTGATTACTTACATATTTTTTCATTGTACTTCTTATTCTCGAAAGCTTGAATCTAAGGCTTAGTTTAAAATATATTTCGGTATCAACAGTTTGATATTACTAGAATATAAATACATTTATAAATATTAACATGATCATGTTGTAATTGATATATTTTTTTTATCATAAAGCGTTTAAAAATCTCTTACTTCTTTGTTTCAAAAATTAATTATCTGAAATTTTCTTCCTTAATCTTGATATTCTCTTCTAAGAAACGATTTTTCTCCCGTTTTTTATGCTACTCAAAGAACTCATTTATGTAACTTATTTTCACCGACTTTATAACCGATTCAACTGTATCGTTTCAAAGGACTGAAGTGATGAAGACGAAGGTGAACCGGCGGTTGACGATGTTGTTATTAATTTAGCAATATATTTACTTTGTTGAACTGTAGCTTTCATCTTCTATATGTTTGATTGTATTAATTTTGAATTATTTCCCATTTGCTCTTTTAAGCCGTTTAACAAAAGTTTATTTTATTATCATCGATATAAGATTTGTCTTAAACAAATAAGAATGTAACTAAAATTTTTCGAATGTAATTAAATTTAGAATTTTGGTGGTTTCTTAAAAGAAAATTAAATTTTGATCACACATATACTCATACCTAACAAGTTTTGATAATATTCAAATTTAAATAAATAATATAATCTATTTATTTATTTAACATTTATTGATGTAACATTATTTATCATAATATTTAAATTTATTTAATTATGATTAGCTTCGAATTAATAAAATTTTTGTTATTGAATTAAAATATACTAGATTTTATCGAACAGAATACATGATTATAAAAACTAAATACAGTCGCGTATAAAGTCTAACAAATGTTATAAAAAATAACGACTTTCTAAAATTGTGTCTATTTATAGCAATGAGATATACAGATACTTTTAGATGAGATCTAAATTATTATAGAGTGCTTAATTAGTTGCCGCTGGGACAGGAAGTGTATATAAGTAATTTGTTTGTTTATATTAAAGAGAAACTTTAGAAATTTAAGTGGGTACAATTGTCTGAATAAACAAGTTGAAATTTGTATAAATTTTTTGCTAAGTCGATTGCGATTCCTTTTTCAAAAAATTATTCCGTAAAGAAATTATAATTCAGTTATTTTAAAAATATTTAATATATATATTTTGTATATAAAATGTATATACATAAAAAAAGTTTCTCTTGTACATATACACAAATCTTAAGTTATATTTTACTTCGTTCAACAACCGTATATAAATTTTTACATATGAATATTAAATGACATTATTGATAAATGAACAATAAATTTGTAAATTATATGTTATTATATACGTATTTACGTAATTATATCATTATATAATATATATAGATAACGAGGTCAAATAAAACGATAAAAGAATGGAAAGGCTCTTTGTTTTCCCAAACAAATTGCTATCTTAATTTTTAATCTTATATGTATAATCAAAATACTTGATTTTTAAATGCTTCTACGCTCATATAATTATATAAATATGTAATTATATATATGTATGTTTATACATATATGTATGTTACTATTATATAAGTTATATAAATGTATGAGATATTATAACATATTAATATTATGATGAATTTAAATCGATGTACATACAGCACAAAACTCAGTATTTATAATGTAATTGTTCTTCAAAAGAAATTGAACAATTTTCCTTCAATTATACCTTCATTTATAGCTAATAGATGAGCACACGAGAAGAATATAATACAAATCTTCAAAATTAAAATTTGTGAAATATAGTATCAAGTTTAAATGATTATTATACTGAACAAAAAAAACTGTAAGAAATTATATGTTCGATATATCACAGTATATTAACATGTGGCAATTTGATGTCAAGAGGTAAATTTATATTAGAAATTAATTCGATTATTTCTTCTAAATTATTTTGTGATAAACGTTGAAATTCTTTAGTACGTAGAACTTCTTTTAGATATAACTTAATAAATAGAGAAGTATGTTTTTTTAGCGAATATGCATTATATGAAAATGCAAGCTGTACAAGATCGATGCAATTTTCAATATTAATCATACGTATCAAATAACTTTCACATAGAAATTTAAGAGTTTTTACATCATATTTATGAGCCATTATTAGTAAATCTCGCAACATGTGATAATTAAACGGATCCGGTATAAAACCGGATAAAATAAATGATAACATTTGCTTAAAAGGTACTGGCATCTCGTCTACCTCTATCTCGTATATGCCTTTTTCATTTTCAACCATCGCATAATCGCATATGCTCTTAAAATACTCACTATTGGTAGCATATAGTGTTTGTACGGGCAAATTATAACGTTCTTCTTTAAATTTAAATGTAATCAGTCCCTTACTCTTAACTTTCAAATTGGTAAGATTTGATCGTTCAAAGTTTAATTGTTTGTATAATGTTGTACTTGATGGCATCATATCTATGTGTATACTTTGAGTATAATATTTCTGAATATCTTCGATTTCGAAATGCATTACAAGACTATTGTCAATTAAATACGTTTGCAACAATTCTAAAGTAGTTTCATATAATAATGTCATATTTGAGATTAAGCCTAAGGTTGATTTACATTTTATCTTATGCATATCTGACGGATAGATGATGCAAACATTGCAAATACCTTTAAACTTTGTTTCAGTAACTAAAAAAAATTTTACCGTACTTTTCATTACATCAGATGTATCGTTATCAATACTTAATTTAATCCTGTATATGGATGTTTTCGGAAATTTTGCAGAAAAAAATTCTTTTTCGATTTTGCAAATCATAATGGCACTATCAATTTCCCAGGTGTATTCAACTTTACTTGACCGTAACCATGTGCGAGAATATGATTTATCATATGTAGATTCAGATATTGTGTGATTGAAAGATTTTGGAATATTTTCTGTTTCTTCTCTGGCATGAATTTCTACGGAGATACCCTCTTTTTTTTCGATGGTTTCATTGAAAGTACCCTCTGTTTTTATTGTGGGTTGGATTGCGTCCATTTTGGTGACGATACTGTTTATTTCCTTTTTAAGAATTTCGTTGGAGATATCCTCTATTTTTTTAAGAGAACTAGTTTTATCGAAAATATCTTTGTTTATTGCTGTGGGTTGAATTTCGGTGATTTTGCTATCGTTTGCTCCCTTGTTGATGTCAGCTAAAATATTTTCTGAACTTTTTCTGGAATGAATTTCGATGGAGGTATCTTCTTCTTTTTTAAGGGGAATTTCATTTAAAGTACTGTCTGTTTTTTTTGTGACTTTTGCGAGTTGAATTCCGGTGAAAGTATCTCTTGCTTTCTTTTTGTTAACAAACTGAAATGAACAAGTTATGTATTTATTAAGTCTAGAGATGATGGGAACTATCTAAACTAATATCTTTTCGTCTAACAAGATAACATCTTTTACTAGTCACAATTTTAAAAATAAATCGTATAAATAAATAAATAAATAAATACAAATGAATATTTGATAAAAGATTATGAATATTTTATTAAAAAAATGAGACAAAATTTCACTGCAATAATGAACAAGTTTTTTCGTTTATACAATAGTGATTATTAATTACATAGTTTAAATATTTCATGCCGTGTGATAAGAGACGAACGGATTCCGTGAGTGACATACATATACTATAGGCTTTTTTCATTATGTATGTTAAATTGATTTAGCACTTAAAAATACTACAAAATACTGCAGATAAATTTATTTATTTAAATTTTATTAATTTATTATGTATGCTGTCTTAACATACATTTTTTAATAACACGTGCTAAAAACACGAAGCAAATTCTAAAAAGAAATATTAAGAACTTACATGTTTTTGCATTGTATTTCTTATTCTCGAAGGTTTAAGTCTAAGGCTTAGCTTAAAATATATTTCGGTATCAACAGTTTGATATTACTAGAATATAAATACATTTATAAATATTAACATGATCATGTTGTAATTGATATATTTTTTTTATCATAAAGTATTTAAAAATTTCTTACTTCTTTGTTTTAAAAATTAATTATCTAAAATTTTCTTCGTTAATTCCTATTCTCTTCTAAGAAACGATTTTTCTCCCGTTCTTTATGCTACTCAAAGAACTCATTTATGTAACTTTCACCGACTTTATAATCGATTCAACTGTATCGTTCCAAAGGACTGAAGTAATGAAGACGAAGGTGAACCGACGATTGACGATGTTGTTATTAATTTAGCGATATATTTACTTCGTTAAACTATAGCTTTCATCTTTTATATGTTCCATCGTATTAATTTTGAGTTATTTCTCATTTCCTCTTTTAAACCGTTACAAAAGTTATAATTATTTTATTATCATTGATACAAGATTTGTTTTAAACAAATCTTATATCTTTAAAATCTTATATCTTAAAAATTTGTTTTAAACAAATAAGAATGTAACCAAAATTTTCTAGAATTTTGGCGGTTTCTTAGAAGAAAATTTATTCTTGATCACACATATACTCACACTTAACAAGATTTTGAAAATGTTCAAATTTATTTTCTGTATAATACAATCTATTTATTTATTTTAATTGCTGAAACAAGATTTAATCATAATATTTAAAATTATATAATTATTAGCTTGAAATTAAAATTATAACATCTTTCTAAAATTGTGTCTATCTAAAACAATAAAATATATAGATAATTTTATAGATAATTTTAGATCAATGTTTTTTGCAAGATTAAGATAATACTTCTATAACAGTCATTTGTCTTTGTCATATATAACAGAAATTCTTAAAACTTTTCAAAGCACAGTAACGCTTGACACTTGCTTCAATATTTAATGTATTTGTATTTGTTAAATGTATTTGTTAAATGATGTTTTCTGAATACTGTGTTCGGTAAAGATTCCTATTATACGAAGATAAAGATAATAGAGATGTGTGCTTTTCTTCTGAAAAGGCTTCGGTGCAAATATCCTCTGATTCATGTGTAGAAAAACCCTATAAATGATTATTTTAATTATTTATTTCAATTTTTATTTAATTATTATATATTATATAATTATAATATATATTAATTACATAATCATACATTATTGATTATTTTTCTCTAACTCGCGAAACTGATTGCTATATTTATCTTTTTTAAACAATATGTTACGTAATATGAATGCAAAAAAAGTAAAAAAGAATAAAGAGAAGTGAATATAAATATAGTTATAAAATAACTTATAGTTAAATTCAACCGTGAATTTTCATATGTTTGACAAATCATGCATTATTACAAAATTTTATCAATTTTTTGTTGCAAATTTTGTCAAATTTTTTATACTTACAATTAGAAAATATACTTTTTTATTTAATAATATAATAATTACATAATGCAATTAGTTGATAAAAGACAAAAAAAATCAATGTATATCATCTTATGAAATCTTATTGTTAGATAATAAGATGTATAGAATTATATTGTCCTTCAGAAATATATTATTTCCTAATGTATTTTAATGATATGCAAATTTAATAAAATGATTGCACTTATATTTACCAAATTATCCGAAATTTTCACAAAATTATCGACAATTATCGCCGACGTGTTAGAATCAGCTGATCACTCAACGAATCAGCTGACAAATAGGAACGTACGAAAACACGAATTATACATCATTAATATTCGATGTATCCGATGTTAATGATGAAAACAAGTATTATTGTTTAACGAATATGCATCATAAATCCATATTGATTTTCTATGTATACGATTACTTTTCATCGTTCGACGAATCTAATTATTATTATCTCTTAAAAAATTGAATGGGTAACATTGATGATCTCAAGTCTGTTGTTCTTATCTATATTCTTTATAAAAATTATTCTCTATAAAAATTTTCATATTTTCCCTCTTTTTTATTTCCCTACAATATTTTTGTTCCGAGTTTAAAAAATGTGATATGCATAGATAAGGAAAAGAAACGCTTGTGCAACGCGATTTATTACTTGCATTAAGTATATTATCGAATTATTATCATTTTTATTCTGCTTGCATCGCGTTTTCTCGTAATTTTGTTTGCCTCTTTTTTTTTACATAAGCATTTCACTTTGAAAAAAGCATAGCAGCTGAATCAACCTCTCATTCTGCGACGATTCCGCGCATGATTTTCCCTCTCCTCTCATTTTATTCTAACCTACAAAGTCCACTTTCTCGTCATCGTTCGGTGAAATCACGAAGAGGTTAAGTTGTCGATTTTCTCGAGGAGTTACGCGGGCGGAAAACGATATTCGACACGTTATCATTTAACAACAACTTACGAGTAGGTTCGTTAATATTTATGCTATTAATGCATAAATTGTCCAAAGTCTTTTAACTTTCTAGAAGGTAAAAACGACATTTTGAATGAGTACAACTTCATCGTGTCTTTCTTCAAGTTATACGGATTTTAAGCTTAATTCTTGTCAAAAATTATATAAGTTACTTATATTGTTATTGCATCCAATTTCTCAGTTATTATTATTCGGCTCCATAACTATTGCTTTTGTTGAACATTGATTGTTTTTCGCATGTATTGGATATGTTGAATGTTTTAACGTAATCTTTCGTCGAATTTTGCAGGAATATTCCAGTAAACGATGAACATGGCTGCGAGCGCAGGCCTCACCCGGCAGGATATGCTAATGCTTGTAGCGAGATTGACATGTGTCGCAGCTATTGGCTTCTTCAGCGTAAGATGGCTCATCACTCAACTCGATCCTACCAGAAGTACTAAACAAAGAGCCAAAAAGAAGGTCCGTAGTTGTCTCATATCAGCTTCTCGAGGAAGTTTTGAATTGTCTTCTATTTGCAAAGAAAATTTCAATTTTAATTAATTACTTGCATTATACATGTAACTGATTATTGCAGGCTCGAGAGCAGTTACGTAAGTTAGCGGAAAGCGACAGATATGCGAGATCTTTTGATATGGATCAGCTGACAGATTACGAGATGATAATAGCTAATCATCTGGTGGATCCAAATGACATCAAAATATCATGGAACAACATTGCGGGACTGGACAGTGTTATTCAAGAGCTTAAAGAAACAGTCATATTACCTATACAGAGGAAGGAATTGTTTGAGGATTCACAACTGACTCAAGCGCCTAAGGTACTAGTTGTCCTTATGCTCCAAGAAATATCGATAGTTTAGATGTATCTTGTGCTTGTTACTTTCAGGGAGTATTGTTATATGGTCCACCAGGTTGTGGAAAAACTATGATTGCCAAAGCTACTGCCCGGGAAGCAAAAACACGCTTTATAAATCTCGATGTGAGCATCTTAACTGATAAGTGGTATGGAGAAAGTCAGAAGCTGGCTGCTGCCGTGTTTTCGTTGGCTGTAAAACTACAGCCTTGCATTATCTTTATTGATGAAATAGGTATGTTGTAATAGTATAGTAGCTAATAAAATCAGAGATGTGTGTGTTGCTTTTATATCTTAGAAGTCTTAAATTTTATCAAAAAAAGCTTTATTTTCTTCATTTTTTTATTGAAAAGGATTTCTTGATGTGTAATTTAATAATATATCACATTTTGGAAATATTAATATATATATTTAATATAATAAGCATTTTATAATGAATTTTTTGTTTGAATATGTATTTAATATACATTTTAACAGATTCATTTTTGAGAGCACGCAATTCACAAGATCATGAGGCTACTGCGATGATGAAGGCTCAATTTATGTCACTATGGGATGGCTTGATAACCGATCCCGATTGTACCGTGATTATAATGGGAGCCACGAATAGGCCACAGGATTTAGATAAAGCTATTTTGCGACGTATGCCGGCGACTTTCCATGTTGGTTTGCCGGTAAATATATTCATACAATATTAAATTTCTAATAATAATTTCTTTAAATTTCTTTAATAATAAGAAGATAATTGATAATTATAAAAATAGTGATAATGTAATGATAAAATATATTGGTAACTATAAAAATACTTGTTTCTTATGTTGATTAATGAAGTTCGCATTTATTTGTTTCAGACTGAGGAACAACGATTAAAAGTCCTGCAATTGATTTTGAAAAACGAGCCAACTGCGGATAATGTTGAAATTGCAACGTTAGCAAAACATACGGAAGGCTTTTCCGGATCGGATTTGCAAGAACTTTGTCGTAACGCGTCCATCTATCGTATTAGGGATTACTTATATTCGCAGTATGTATCAGACTTGTTTATAGAAAGAAAATCAAATTTACCAATGATATCAATAAATAGTCTAGAATTGAGAATTCTAAAAGTCAAAGACGCATTGCATCAGTTTCCGTTGTTTAATTTAGGGATACAAACAAGTACGAGAATAGTGAAGAAGAAGAATATGACGAAGAGTTTCATGACACTGTACGACCCATTACAATGGAAGATCTGCTTAAGTCATTCAGAAAGATGAGAACGTCGAAACTGCACACGGGTACGCTCGGCGCGCGGCAACTGGATTTAGATTAAAGTAAGAAATTTATTTTTTGTTAGTTTGTCTGTGACTGTTTTTCTCAACAGTCATTCATGTGTTGCATAGACATTACGACAATGATGAAAATGAAATCTTTTTTCATCTTAAAACTATACTCTTCAGTATTGTCGAAGAGTGGTTTTCTTGTCGCAAATATTGAAAAATTTTTATGGAGATATTATTTATGGAGAGATTAAAAAATAGCACTTATCTTCACAGAGTCTTTATAATTCCATAGTAAAAAAGACATTATAGAAAGAAATTTTATAATGAGATGAAATGAAATTTCTCTTAATATCATAATGTTGCATGTATAGCGACGATATATGACAAAAGTTTCATGTAATTTACTCATTTCCAAATTTTAATTTATGTAATTTACTGATTTCCAAATTTTAATTGATTTTGAATATGTATGTTTACAAAGCTATAAATACATATTTAATTTACACATTTACATTAACACTTTTAGATTATATTGTATGATAAAAAGAAAAATGTACGACTTATACCTTGGAACTATTATCCAATTAAGTCATTATTAAATTATCAGTTAATTGTGTGTGACGACAGTGTATAACATTTCATTTAATTCATTTCCAAATTTTAATTTATTTTATTAAATCATCTTTATCGATATCAAAAAATTCCTTTGTAAGATAATGTTGAATAAAAGAATTCAATAAAATAAATTAAAATTTGAAAATGAGTAAATTAAATTAAATGCTTTTGTCATACACTGTTGCCATACACACAACATAATTAACTCATAATATAATAATGACTTAATTGGATAATAGTTCAAAAGTACAAGTCATAAATTTCTCTTTTTATATAATCTAAAAAAGTGTTAATGTAAATGTGATTAAATATATATCTAGCTTTGTAAACATACTTATTCAAAATCAATTGTATATGTGATGAAATGTATAATAGTATTAAGTTGTATAAAAATAATGAGATGCGCCATAAATTTTGATCAATAATTGTCAAGAGCAGTGAAATTATTTATCTTTAACAGATTCTAGTTTTGCCAAACTGTAATGAATTGTGCATCTTTTTGCTATAATATATTTTTGCACATGTAATACCCTTTTTTTATATTTTATTATATATATGAAGTCTTCTAAGTAGCACATAATATGCATTTCTGTGCACTTTATTATATAAGAAATTAATTTATTTTTAAATCACGCTGTGTTCTTTAAAAATTGGAAGTATAAAATACTATGTAAAAAAAGTATCATGACATTTTCTGAAAAAATATCAATATTAAATCCAAATTGTTGTTTATGTTTAATATTTAATTACCTCAGCTATATAAAGAAAAGAATATATATGTATATATTTATATATTGTAAGTGTTACTAAGACATAAATATCTTCTCAGTTTTAGCTTCATAACCATTATTATCATACTTCAATGTAGAATACATATTTTCCGTTTTAGAAAGATTTTATTAAAAAAACACTGAAAACAAAATAGTATAATATAAATACAAATAGCAAGATAATATAAAACGCGCATAATAATAAAAATGTTACTTTAATAATTTTCTTATTTAATTTATATATTGTTTCTGTATAGTATAAATTGGAAGTTCAAGTATAATTCAAAGTTCTGTATAATATTATATAATATAAATTCGAAGAAATGTTTTGCATAATGTGTAGGACATTTCAATGAAAATCTTTTCAAACTACTGTAAATTAAATAAGAGAAAAGAATATTACATTAAAAAATAATTTAATTTTATTTAAAAAATCATATGAAGCTATTTTAATACTTTTGTTTTGAAATTTTGTTCAGCTCCCTCATCACGTCCTGGATCCTTTCAACCCCAATATGTCATTTTTCCTTCAAGACTCCAACGTCAGATCTCCTTTCAGCTGAGAGACTAAAAAATTTTATTGAAGCCAGATCAGGAGAATACGAAAAAGAATGAAAGAAAGCATTTGAAGCCTGGTTTTTCGCGAAGAATTGCGTGATGATCTCTGTAGTATATTTGAAGTGAGAAAAAAAACAGTAGCGGTCAAGTGAAAAATGTCCACTTGCGATCGAATTGCGGGAGAAGAGCATTGATTTCCATTTGCTGTATTGCGCTTCAAGAAGAAAAGACACAAAGCAGAACATGATTATTGTATCTTGAAAAAATTATAAGACTCTCATAGATTCAGGTAAAAAAAGGGGAAAAGATAAAAGAACGATATTGTATCCCGAAAGGAGCAATTACTCAGATATCATTAGGGAGAGGCAGTCGTAATAGAAATTTTGTTTATAGATAAGTGCGAACATGTGTGTTTATACATACATGTTAATTATGTGTCGGTATCTTATTTAGGAAATACAGAGGAGAGATTGTAGTATGACAAATTGAGAGAGATACAGAGAGATACATTATTCAATTATCTTTTCAAGTATATAGAATCGCATCACAATCGGCGCTACTCTATAATTAATCGTAAATCTCTCTCGATCTCTGATTATTCGATATCAAATATTTGAAACGGAATACGGAAGATAAGGATCAAATTCAGGAGGCTGTAAAGAGAGTTCCTTCGCTCGCGCGTTTACATTTTTCGGAAATATCGAGCGAGTTACTCCAGTATCAATCCTTGCTCGCGCGAAGAGAGAGCGCGGATAAAGAGAACGGACCCGCGCGACAAACGCGCGCTCGCGCAGCAGCAGAATCAAGAAGAACCGAGGACGCACGAGCGCGAGCGACGCCGCTCGGTTCTCTCGGGCTTCTCTCCCGTGCTCGTCTCCTCCTCTCGATCCCGAAGCAAAGGCCCGCGGTTCCTTCGCGATTGGAGCACGCGCGCTGAACGAGAAACGCGTCGCGGCGGCGACTCGAGCGTGCGTGCGTGCAAGCGTGCGTGCGTGCGTGCGTGCGTCCCGGAACGGAACGGAGAGCGTACCCGTGGTCGCCCGCGGGGACCGAGAGGCGAGAAAGCGGAAAAAGACATAGACACGCGCACACACACACACACACACACTGTCATGGCGTTAACGTTAACGACGCGTGTCGAGCGTACTACGCGCCGTCGTCGTCGCGAGGCGAGGTGCCGGTAATATACAGTAACGCCGGGTAACATACATAGGAGAAGGACGTCGACGATCCGTCGTCCATCCGTCCGTACGGGGAAAAAGAAAGAAAGAATAGGAGAGACGGAGCGTATGTGTATATGTGTGCGTGCGCGCGCGCGCGGGTGTGTGCGAGCAGCACGAGCATTGTCAGTCGCGCTCTGCTCCGAAATCGTCGCGGTCGATCCTCTCGTCGTCGGCAACCTCCTTTCATCCGCGACCGAGATTCGTGCGAGACGGCGCACGAGACCGAGGAACGTCACATGCTATGCGACATCCCCCGTTGTTCGTCCTCCGGTCGTCGTCGATCGCGAAAAACGAACGCGGCATCGCTGCCGCCGCCGAGTTGTGTCGCTCGCGAGCGCGCGCGAGAAAGAGCGAGAGGGCCGCCTCCTCTCCCTTTCTCTCTCCTTCTCTCTACCTCTCTCGCTCTCACGTAGAGAGCGCGAGCACGCTTAACCTAAAACCCTCTTCTCGGCTCGTCTCGTTATCGTCCCGTCCCGTCTCCCTCGTCACCGCGGATCCCATCGTCCGGTGCGCGTTTCCTCGATAAACGATACGGCCAACGTGCGAAGGAGGCGACGCGTCGAATCGATCGAGACTCGATCATCGACGCCGTTCAATCGCGAACGCGACAGACCGAGACGGAGCCGCGAGTCCGCGCGAGACTCTCTTCTTCGACGTCCCGCCTACCAGGCGATGCTAAGCTGCCATCCCTGTTGCGACTCGAGTGTTCGCGAACGCGCGTGATAGTGACTGGTGCTCTCTTAGCGGCCACCTGGACGAGCATTCGGTGCTATTGTGTGATTATTTCCCTTCTTCGCTCTCCTCGAAGAGTATCTCCCCCAGGAGTAAACTAGAACTCTCTTCCTCTCTCTGCCATTAGACTCTTTCTTCCTCGTTGTCTACTTGGCGAGTTAATGACGACTGTGATCTCTGTGATTTTCGGAACAGAATTGTTTGTCTGTTGAATGAACTAGAAATAAGAGAGTTTACAGTGGACAGTGCAGTAATTTAGAGACCAGTCTTGGATGGAACTGTGCAGTTAAGGAACCTGTGTTAAATGGTGTATATAGTGTATGTACTTTTCGGTATCTTGTGTTGCCTGCCACCATAGCTGAAGTGAGAATTTCTCCTCGAAGACCTGCTTTCTGTGGAGCTTCGCTATTGTACAGTCTATCAATCGTATCAGACTAATAATGGTGATGACATGTTGTCGTGAAATGATTTGTATTTGGTCAAGAGTCATCACTGAGCTACACGATGGAGGAATAGGACACATTCAATGAAAAAAAAATGCCTATGTAGAAGAACACATGTTCTGGGAATTGATGGGTATATGCTTTTCCTGCAGGAGACCAACCAGTGGCAGGTTGAACAGTAAAATCTCTGAACATATCTCGGCATCAGTAACCCCTCTCCATGTTTGTCTGGAAGAACAAAGAGGACCAGAACTGGGCTCATGTGACGCATCGCAAGCTCACAGGCCTCAGGTGAGTCTAATTTATTGTATATACATATATATGGAGGGGCATATTATTAAATAAATTCTAATTGATTTGATATAATTACATGAATTTGTCTTGTTATTTTGGCAATAGGTTAAAAGGACCTCTAAGAATCAAAAAGCAGAAGAAATTCCCGAAGAGGTGGCAGAGGGTAGTTCGATCGAGATTGAGGCAGGAGAGTTAAGACAGACTATGGCCAACACTATCAGCAACATAAAGATGACCAACCCTTTAAGGGGGTTTGTCAGCAAACAGCGTAAACGTTTCATAGCAGATGGTTTTAATCTTGATCTCACATGTATCCTTTTATTGCTTCATTGTTTAGAAGATATATATATATATATATATATATAAATGAGAAATAATTGAATACATAGAAACTGAGCATTTGTGTCATAAATAAACAAATACACTCGAAAAATAAATTGATGCTAAGTAGATTCCTTAATATTTTGATTTAGATATAAAAAATAATTTAATAGCGATGGGTTTTCCAGCTGAGAAACTGGAAGGAGTGTACAGAAATCATATTGATGATGTTGTTAAACTATTAGAATCCAAACATAAAGATCACTACAAGATTTATAATTTGTAAGTTCTTTATTTAGAAAACTTATAAATCTTGTAATAATTAATCACTGTCATTAAGATATCCATTTTGCGATAAAAGAATCTGCTCATAACATAATAATGTTTTAGGTGTTCCGAAAGGTCATATGATTGCAATAAGTTTAAACAAAGAGTAGCCACTTATGCATTTGATGATCATAATCCACCAAAACTGGAACAGATCAAGCCTTTCTGTGAGGACGTACATTTGTGGTTATCTCAACACAAGGACAATGTAGCCGTAGTTCATTGTAAAGCGGGGAAAGGTCGAACAGGCGTAATGGTGTCCTGCTACCTACTTCACAGCAAACAATTTCTTAATGCCACTGAAGCTCTTAATTTTTATGGAAATATACGCACTCACGACAAGTAAATATGATATTATTAAACTTTCGAGTTTGGCGAGTCTTCACGAACCAATTTTTTCATTTATTCAATTTTATTGTAATGCAGGAAAGGTGTAACTATACCGTCGCAGATAAGATACGTGGATTATTATGCCACCATTGTCAGAGAGGGTCTCAATTATCAACCAGTCACATTAATATTGCGCAAAATACAACTGGATCCGGCTCCTATTTTTAATGGTGGTCAAGCATGTAAGTAATTTGTATAAAAGTACAATAGATTTTTGTTTGATTTGATTTTTGATAATTAATATTTACTTTAATTATTAATTTTTATTTATGCAGAAAATAAAACGAATCTTTAGCTTTCTCTAATTACATAATATTTTTCTTTGCGACTCAATTAATATATTATTATAAATAATAGATTTATAGATTTAGTGTGATTGCTCTTGTTATAATTTGAATGCGTTTTATATTATTAGGTCTGCGTTATATAATCTCGGAATCAAACAAAAGGATATTTTCGGGTGTTTACGAGGTTCGGAAAGGTACACCTTCTATATGTATCTCCTTACAACACAGTGTAGCTTTGACGGGTGATATAAGAGTGGAATTTTTCAACAGACCAAAAGTGAAACCGAAGGTACATACTTATGCTTTATCATTCTTTTTGGTACGGTAGATTAATAAAAATTTTTTTTCCAGGAAAAAATGTTTCATTTCTGGTTCAACACATTTTTTGTTCGTGAAAAAGTAAATTCCGAGTATGATAATGGCGAGTTATTTGTTGAAAGAGCAACGAGGGCATTGAGCTGTGACGGCACAGCCATGGAGTGTCCAATGGTTACGTCGCATGTGAAATCCAGAACGGGCTCATTGGCGAGCCTTGGTTCTATGCCGCCTACTCTCGTTTTACGAATAGGCAAATCTGAGTTAGACAAAGCACACAAGGATACAAATAACAAGTTGTACAGTGAAGATTTTAAAGTGAGTTGCATTCGCGTAATGATAATATCTATCGTATCTTGCGATTATAATAGTCTTAATCTCAAATATACATTTTTTAACATCTTGTCAATTATAAATATTATAAGTAAAACGCATTACAGTCCACTTCAACGCTTCGAGTTAGATATTAATTACAGTCCGGACATGAGATAGGATGGAAATTATTTTCCGATTATTTTTTTTTAATTACAGGTGAGTCTATTTATGCATAGCGTGGGCGGAAGCACATCGCCGGCTGTGCCAGCGACGACGAACAGAAGCGGCGATGGCGTGCAGTTGGGGATGGGCGGGCAGGAGACGCCGAGCGAATCGAGCGAGGCGGATAGCAGTGAGTGCGACACCACTGGTGACGAGGACGGTTGGGAATCCGGTGAGTCCTCTGCATCCTTGGTGGTAAACCACCACCAACACCATCATTCTATTACACACAGCGGTAGCCGTACACACGTTAGCGGTCTCCGTTCGTGTGTTAATTTCAAAGAGACCGCCAAGGGTCTGCTATCACGTGGTGACAAAAGTAGGAACAGTAACAGGCAGAACGTCGCCGGGGCAAGCGCAAAGCGTTCTTCCGCTCCGTTCGCGCGCTCGGCCGTTCTTGACACGTAGTAGTTTAATAAACGCTCTCGGTACTTAAGAACACGATCTCCGATGTTTCGTGTTCTCGCGGTGTCGCGACGCGGGCATTTCGTATGATCGCGTGTGTCTGCGCGTTTTTCATTGTTCTTTTTCCTTCGTAGAATCGCGTTACGCGCGTTAGACGGCTTGGCGCGAATAAAATGACGATTAGAAATCGGAGAGATACGTTTTCGCTGTAATTGCCGCTCGTTACGCCGCTCTTCCTTCATGTCGTTGTTTCATTTTTCATTCTTTTACTCCTCATTTTCTCTCACTCTCTCTTGTTCTCTTTCATTTTTTTTTTGTTATTATGTCGTGGGACCATGAACTTCATTTTTCGTATTGACGATTTGTGTCTTACGACTATATTACGAGTATATATTATTAACTGTTAATCGATTCTTCGCGTAATGCTCGATAATATAGTTAATATCGTTAATGTGTGTGCACCAAGAGTAAATTAGTTAGTAAATTGTTTAGTTTGCCATGTGTAGAATTTGATAATACAGAAATCGATAAGTAGCAACGAATTAATTGTGATTTTAACAATGGTAGGAGACACACATTTTTGGGATTTAATAACTGAATATGTAATAGCAATCTGGCTTTCGTTATTTTTGACGAAGTTCTAACGCATTCTATACAAAAGGATATTTTTGATTAAATTATATGATACGTATCGTGTTTTTCGCGCGCTTTTGCAAAACGGATTGCAAATAGGATAGGCATTTACCACAGTGAATAGACTTTTGAAGCAGACTTTTGAAGCAGACTTTTAAAATTGTATAGGACGCAAATATAATATAAGTGCACACAAAGTAAATCAGTATCAACGTAATTTGTAATTCAAATAATTTAATAAAAAAAATTCTAATAATTTAATAAAAAAAAATTTGTACCGAAAGTCCACTGTTAAATTTTTTTCCATCTTTTTTTTTGTTTAAAATAAAGAATAAGTTATATATTCTAAAACTAATATTATTTTGAAAACTATAAGAAAATGATATAAAATCACATGATAAAATTTAATTGTACGATTTAAAATACAATTATCTGTAAAATTTATGCTATTCATATAAAAAAATTTTTTTAACTATATTAATCTATATATTTTTAATCTATATATGAAATTGTGTATATTTGCATACAATCGATTTTCATGTTTTGTCAAAACTTTTGGATAAACTAATGATAACGTAGAACGCGCAGTATTCGAATCTGTAGAACGATAACGCGTTTTTATCAAAAAATAAAAACGATATAATTTTATCTACTTTTAACACGCAAAATCGCGAAGCAATATGCGATATTTTGCATTGATTACAACCATCGAGATCGCGTGAAAATTTATTTCTTTTTTATTTATTTTTTTTACAATTTATTCATATTTGCTTTTTTTAAATAAGAGCGGAATTATCAGCATAATATCTAATGGATTTAATTCGACATTTTTATCCATTCAAATAAAATTGTAGATTTTATCTCTATATTTCTATTTCGCAAATAAACTCTCTGTGGAAAAAGAATTAAAATTGCTAGTGCTAGAAACAAATTGCATAGAGAACAATAGCTGGTTTATACGCTATTCTTTCCGGAAATTACGAATCACGATATATAAAGTCGATATATAAAAGAAGACAAATAGAACAACATAAAATATACGCAATTATTAGGCTGTGCAATATCTAAAATTATCTTTTTTTACACAGATGATACATTTTCGAGCTCGCTTTCGTGCACATCTTATTCGCGTTTGTAGACTCTTTCATAAGAATAACGTTGTTCGTCGACCACTTGTCTTGTGATTATAATTACGTGATACATATGTATACATATAGCGTACATATAGACGTTCGAGAGATGTCCGAATGTGTAAAAAAATTTACAAATGTATTACATTCGATTGATGTAAAAGCGCACGGTTTTATACATTTTGAGAGATACTTGTTCCATCAAAGTAAAAATATAAATCGTAGTATCATTCTTGAACAATTTATTCGTTACTATTTGATTGAAGAAAAGTAAAACGGTAAGAATGATGGTAAAATACAGTTTTAAAAAGCGGTGTTAAAACTGCTATTTTACCGGAATGTGATTCTGGATTTTTTAATAGATTCAGGGATACGCGCAAGGAAAGCTTTTTGTTTAATCGTTTATTGATGACGAGGAAGTACAAATACATAGAAATCAGCTTTTATATATCTTGTATATTGGAATTAATAAGCCGCGGATGCTGCTGATTATATTAGATAACGATTTTTGTGTGTAGCCGTAATAATAACTCGGATATAAAACGGAACTCATATTTGCCAAGCAGCATATAGGAGAAGAAAATAAGAAAAAGAGAATATCTGAGTTTAGATTTAAAACCGATTGTCTTTCTATCGTCTATATCTTGCTTTTTAATGTATACACAGAGAGAATTACGCGATACCTTAGATTTAGATACGTACGTGACTGTTGTACGTAGCGAATATATGTGTGATATAAGAAAACACATATAAGTTTTACAAGCATACACACACACATTATATATATATATATATATATATATATATATATATATATCATGTATATGTATATATCATATATATGATTGAGTAATAACACATACGCACATACTGGCTTCGGGGTCGAACGTATTAGTTATTACTAATTGATTATCGAGATTTATGATTTTTTCTCAGATCGATTACGTGAAATTATTATTATTATTATGGTTATATCGATAAATGTAATTCGATTTAATAGCGCGATAGCATTATTAGTATTACATTGTCGGATATTTTTTTCTTTTTATACAAGACTAGAGACTCGTGATACGATAAAGTAAGCATGCGTTTTCCTTCTCGCAGTGACGAATCATTTTAATGATACTTTGTCACAAGTCAAAGATAAAAAAAAGAGAAATAAAAAAGACGGAAAGGTTCTGAAATTTTTTTTCATGATTTTATTAAAAATATGAAGCGATTATTATTTAGTTACTTAAAGTGCAATACGTTCTATACGTTCCGTATTTTTTAATATATACAATAATTATATTTATTGTATAAAATATATATTATATGTATAAAATCATTTTTTAATTTAAATAAAAACAAGATACTCGGCAGTAAGACGTCATATTTTGTGAGCATAGGTAAAAGAATTATGGTCAAATTAATTTGTCCAGTGGTTAGGAGAATTCCCGAAATAATAATTTCGATTAAAATTCTCGAACTGTATCTCCCGAAGCTAGAATTAAGTGTTCATCGCACGATTTGTAAATAGCGATTTATATAGCGATTATGTCAATGTATTCTCGTAATTTTGATAGATGGATTCTGTAGAATGTATAAGATGTGCCAGACTTAATGGTCCATGTTTTATTTACGGGTCCTTCGGGCAATGTAGCATCAATTTTTCTTTAACAAAAATGGAGATCCTTTCGGAAATCAAATTTCATAAATGCAAATAGATGTTAAAATAGACAATAAAATGTCTTATTTATTATTTATTTTTAGATCGATTTTTTACTTTAATGTGAATTTTAGGGACCAGTTGCAAAGATATTTATGATAATATTAAAAATTGGAAACTGCGACAAATAATGAGATCTTTCTCTTAATTTTGATTAAGGAAAAATTGATCCTAAATTCAGCTAAAAATTCATAGACAAAAGTAGTTTCGCGCTAGATCTGGAACATAAATTTTACGGGGCCTAAAAACTCGATACACACCCGTAATGACTCCCTCTTTAAATTGTCTCAATACTTTTGTGGTCGTAAGAGATTTGTATTGGATTTTTGAAAAGCATGGCTGTCGAATGTATTTTTCCCCCATTTTTTTAGAAAGAAGTAATTCAGTCTCGTTCCTTCATTTTTCTGACCAT